ATTTGCAGTATTAGCTATAGCTATAAGTCAGGAGAGAGACGGCAGCTTGTACGTCTCCACCGCCCGAGCCTGGCTAAAGCGCCAAGCGCTATAGTTCGTGACAGGCAGCCCACACGTACACAGGTTTTCACTTGTGTGCACTGCGCCGCACGCACTATAGTTATGGCTCCTGCACACAGGACGCGGTAATGCTTGCCGCGCGGCGGAAGTCCGCGCGACAGCCAATCAACATGTTGTTTTTCTGTAAGAGCTAGAAGGTTATTACGGAAAGCAGCATATTGATTGGCTGTCGCGCGAACTTCTGCTGCGCGGCAAGCATTACCGCGTCCTGTGTGCAGGAGCCATAAGACCTTTTTCGAATTTTGATATTTTTTTGCAGTTCTTTTGGTAAAATATTTATTTTGACTCCAACATTGATAATCAATCGGGGGAGTCTAAAAAATATGCGTTATATATTGTTTTAACTTTTTTTATTTTTTTTTCACTTATCAAACTCATTGCTGTTTTCCCACAATTTAAACAAGTTACTGATCTTTTAATCACATTATGTAACTGCAATATCGAACGACTAGCGGAGAGCTGCTCCCCCCGCATCACCCTCAAAACTAACCTAACCCACCCTATCGTTACATTAACCGTTAGTCATTGTTTATTAAAAAATTATTAAGAAAAAAAGTTGAACACTTTAATAAACAATGACTGACGGTTAATGTGACGATTGGTTGGGTTAGGTTAGTTTTTAGGGGAAGTGTAGGAGGCGCAGCCTCCCGCTAATCGTTCGATATTGCAGTTACATAATATGATTAAAAGATCAGCAACTTGTTTAAATTGTGGGAAAACAGCAACGTTTGACAAGTGAAAAAAAACTAAAAAAAAAGTTAAAACAATATATAACTTGCATATTTTTTGGACTCCCCCGATTGATTATCAATGTTGGAGTCAAAATAAATATTTTTACCAAAAGAGCTGCAAAAAATATCAAAATTCGAAAAAGGCCTTATTATACATAATTACCCGAAAAAGAATCAGGAGTATTGAAATACTAGATAGTACACCGATCGTGCCTGACGATACTTCCACAGCAGCGCTTGAGATCGATATTTCGGCCAAATATATGGTTTTTTAATATTTAATTAAATCTATCTGGATGACTCACAAATCTTTTTGATGATACTTCTTAACTCTTCATACGAAATACAAACGATACCATACCGAACCTTTGTTTAATTTACCTCCGGTCATTATTTCCGCTTAAATACATGGTCCAAAAAAGAACAATTAGTTACAATAATAGAATGACTCACAAATATTTTCA